TCAGAAAGCCGGGTTGGGTTGTGGGCTGTGCAAAAATCTGGGCTACTTTTAACAACAAACCTCTATGAATCTCTGGGCTTGAAGAGGTGGACACAACAAAACATTATGGGTCTACTTGGTTCAAGTGCTGAAAAAGAATCCACAGAAACCGCCCAAAAATTAACTTGACTTCCGCTTAGAAAACTTAATTTCTTAACACGAAAATTGGAGTATAATATAAATGTAACAGATTATATGTCAACTTTTTTTGAAAAATTTTTCTTTTGAGATATTTTGTTAATAAAGTAAGGTAATTGATTATTGGAAAAAAAAATTAAAACATATTGATATAAAAAAATATTAAAATATCTAATAATAGTAATATGATAAAGTAATAAAATTATAACATATATATATTTTTAGTACTAAAAATACCCTCCCCTTGAATTCAGTCATGTAATAGTTGGGGTCCAATGTTACTGAGAGATTGATATAAAAAAATATTAAAATATCTAATAATAGTAATATGATAAAGTAATAAAATTATAACATATATATATTTTTAGTACTAACCCCTAATATTCAGAAACCACATTAAACTTTAACTAATTTAAAGTTAAGTCAAGTTGGATTTTATAAAAAGGAAGCTCTTCTAATATATGTTTTTTTATTTACAAAACTCGAATTTAAAATCTTATTTAAAAAGAATCGAATTTCTTTCATTTAGATAAATAAATTGTTGGTACTATAGTTTGTATTATACTCCACACATTTAATTTCTCCTTTTCCTTTGATCATCAATGGAATATGTATAAGTGATTATATCATTGATAATTACTTGCTTCACATTTGTAATCAATCATACGTCTAATGTAATCAATTATATTTTTTGTTATAATCAACTATATATATAATCTCAATTTTCATGTCAAAAAATTAATTTTCCTAAGTTAAACCAAGTTTAGCTTTTGGTCTACTTCTCTAAATACGTTTGCTTTTTTTTTTTTTTTTTTGTGGAAAATAGGCAATGGGATATAATTACCAAAAGTTAAATATACACGATAGGGTAAACAATAAAGCACCTAAACACATCCATACTCATCCAGTAAAGCAAAACATACCAACTCCAACTAGACACGTCCTTACAAAGCAAACTAAGGAACTGATTAGGAGGGCACAATTAGCCCAGTAATGAGGACACGTGCCTTTTAAAGTTGACATAGCTGGCCAATCTGCAACAGTATTAACTCGTCGAGATATATATTACACAAAGCACTATGGATTAGAAGACAAATTGGTTTTGAACTCGGAAATAATAGAGTTGATCTCTCACGATACCTTGCTTAGCTTTCCTTGTACCGAGTCCACTACCAATTTACTATCCGACTAAGAAACAGCACCACTTGTATTCAAGGGATTGGTTTTGACTTTTGACTTTGCAAGCTGTCTAATCAATTAAGCAAAAAAATAAAAATAAAAAAGCACTATGATTTAAAGTCCTCTTTTTATTTTATTTTATTTTTTTACCGGTTTCATCAACTTCCACAGCCTTAAATCGGATCTATAACACCCAAGAGTCAAAATCCCATTAAAAAAACATATGGAAACTTCTACTTTCTCATTTTTTATGTATAAAAATGAGTTACTTAATTATTGGCAATTTTTAAATTGTAAAATGAAGGTTTTTAAATAAGGTTAAGATTCTTAATATCAGAAGCCCATTTCTTGTTTAATAATAAATGTTGTACAATTTAATATAGAGTGAATTGTATAATATTTTTTTATATATATAAATATAATAATTTATAATATAGTTGTCAAAATGACAGAAAATAACTATAAAATGTATTTAAGTAATTTTCTTGAATTGTCAAATA